TAGGAGAAATGAATTTTTCCCTTGTCGAAATTTTTAAATACACGCGAGCCCCGCGCATTATGTGAGAGTGGGCAATCCATTATGTATAAACCATTATGTACAAACCATTATGTACAAATGGATTAACCCATAAAATATTCTATAAGTAAATTTAAAACGTTATCTTACTTTTAACCACACAACCTCCTAAAAATCACTTCAAAACATAGTTTTTCCCATTTAATTGTTGTCATACAGGGGCTAAATTCGCTCCAATAGCAAACAATTATATGAATTTAAACACAAGATAAGTGTAATATTTATGTTTATCAAATAACTTCAAACTCATTTCTAAAATTAGGTCTAAAATGACCACACACAGGCAAGTGGTGAGACAGTTGAAGTCTTTAGCCACTGAATAAAATCAACTGCTGAGATTGAAGTGCAAACATCTTGCTATATGAACATAAATTTTTATCATTTGTCAGTTTAAAATACAGTCAATTTTTTCATCCAATTTTTTCCCTCTACATCATCATATGTAATCCCTTATGTACCATTTTTATGTATAAGTAAAATAATCCAAAACATAATGACCTTGCTACATGTATATGAAAATTTATATAAGTGATTACATAATATTGCATGATATAATAACATTTGTCAATTTAAAACACATCAATTTTTTCATTTAATTTTTCCTCTCACTTCATTTTATGTAATTTCTTATGTACCATTTTATGTAATTCCTCCCTACCTTAACCACCACCTTAACAACTTAACTAAGAACAATGCTACATTTACAGTCCCCATTCACAGTCTCTTTCACAGTCCACTAAAATGGAGGTGGGGCCACACCCACGTGTGAGAGGACTGTGAAAACTCAATGTGAAGGGAGACTGCACATTGAGCAAAATTGCTTAGCTAATTACTATTATGCCCTCACATGTAAAAATAAGTTGCTGAACCAAAAATCATTCACAAAGACTGAAAGTGATGCAATTCAAAGATTTTAGTTATGCTATGATGACTGCACTTAAATTTACTCAATCATGCTAGATGTATATTATTTTTTATATCATTTTTTACACTTTATCACGTGGCAACAAATCGTTTGAGAGTTTAAATTTTTGACAATTTTCACCCAATCAACACTTATAATGGCAACAAAAGTGTCATTTTCCAAAATCAATATGTAATGACCCAAATCTTTTCTTCTAATGGGACAAAATTGTTTATAAAGAAACATCATAAAAACAAATGCACTATCTACGAAGCATCTGGTGGGCCACGTGTTACATTATCCACATCTCTCCTTCCTAGTGGTCCCACACTAATATCCATATCTATTTTTCACAAAATTGCCTTCATTCATAATTTATCCAGCCAACGGTCCTGATATTTACTTGTGCTAGGATCTGACGGCTCCAATTTCACATCAAATTCACACTTACGGACCTGATCTTCTGCCACGTCGTCTTCACTCCTTGCTCGTTTCACCCCAATTGAAACCCCAAAAAGCCTTGGAGTAATATCTTCTTTTGCATCCACAGCCATAACTGCCGCCGTGGATTTCGGTCCGCCGTCGTCCTCCACTCTGACCTGCGTTTCCTGCATCAAATTCAATGCTTTTCCCTCCGGCAACGATATTGAAAACTTATCCCCACGAGTTTCCCCATAATTCGACATCAAATTATATATATTGCTGCACAAGCTCCTCAATTTGTTTAATTCTTGGCTCAACTGTGAATTCTCCTTTCTCAATCTCCCATTTTCCTCCAGAAGCTCCGTTCCAGTTGTGTAAGTCCGCAACGGAATCGCCGGAGTGACGGTGGCGGCCGGCGATGAGTTTGATGAAAGAATCTGCTCGTCACCAGAGTTTTCCGGAGAGAGTGCTACAACAGAAGCCGACGGAACTGCCCCCGTCGCCGCCTGGACGTTGGCTGTGATCGATGTTGTGGCTGCCGCAGTTGAGATTTTCCGGCGCTGAATGTCTCTTAATAGTTCTTTTTGGCCTCTTCTGAAGCATTCATTTGCAAATTCCCATCTATCCGGTACTACTTTCCTAAATCCCTGCAAAATCACCACCAAAAAATTGGAAAATTCTTAGTATGGAAAATTTCATTTTTCTGATACATACAGTGGCCAAAATTTAAAGAGTAGTTTCTTCGATAATCCGAAAAAAGAAAAGAACAAAATTACAAAAAAAAAATTCCATAATCAATACATCGTGGGGCTAATGTATAGAACACCGACTGATTTGGGTAAATATCAAATGAAAATGAGATTATACGAATTTTCAGTTTCAAGAGACATACGTAAGTGTTGAGTTGACGAACGAAGCTGGAGAAATTGTTGTGCTTGAAATATTTGGGGAGAAAATCTCGTGCGAATTCAGCTGCCCGCCATACTATGAACGTTGTTCCATCTTCATTCCAAGAGATCATCTCATCGGTGCTCGGATCGTCCACCAATTGATACGTTTTCGTCAAAAATGGTGTCGGAACAGACCTCTGCAAATCACCGCCACTCTGCTCCACCGGAAATGGTGACATATCACATTCACAGCTACTAAAAATCCAAAAAAATCAAGAAATTCAAATTATTATTATTTTTTCATTTTACAGAATTTCACCATAAAATATATTTGTGTTGATTCCTGATAAAAAGGGTTAGCTAAAAAAAAAAAAAAAATCAGCTTTACGTTTCTGCTTTGAGTGAATTATAATGAACAAAGAAGCATCATTCAAAGTTAGGGTTATCATTGAAAAAAAAAAAAAGGCATAACAATTGGAAGGGAAGAAACAATTAATTGTGTCGTATTTAAATCTACGTCTCTTCATGGTAAATTTTAATTTAATTAAAAATTTATCAAAACTAATATTGTAACATTTTCTATCTCTAGCTTTGAATGTAGTGAACATTGATTGATGATTTTTTTGACTATTTCCTGGTTGTTCTAAAATTCAGCGATTTCGGAATTCAAATCTATGTTTCTTCGTGTTGATCTATATATATCTAAATCAAAGTGAGCTTTCTCACAAAAAAAAAACTTGATTAACAAGCAGAAAAATGAAACACACGATAATTATTCCAAAATACAACACAAATCTCAGAATAATACCTTAAAAGGAGATAGCCAATAACAGAATAGTCTTCAGGAATACCAGAAAGAGCTGGAGAAACACGCAGTGGAGGTGTGAGTATGGGAGGCAGGAATGGTTTCTTTCTAGAAGGTTCGTCAGGAGGCGGAGGTGAGTAATGAATTAATTCAGAAGGGAGCATCTTCGTGGGTTCGAGAAGGCAAAAAGTGGGTCGGGTGGGGTCCACTATGTTTTGGAAACGAACTTTTAGGAAGGCGCGATAAGGTGCCTTTTTCCGCAGTGTTCTTTTTGTACAAGTTTTTCTCTTCTCCTTTGGAAGTATATGGACAAAATAAAAGTCATAAAAGTACTTCTGATTTTGATCTTTTAGTTATGAGTCAGGCAAAGATTGGAAGAGATTATTTGAAAGAAAAATATATTTTTTAAAGAATATATAATTAAAAAGTATGGAATAATTACGAGTTTACGTATAAAATTGTTCTCCGTGTTCAAAAATGAATTTTACGAAAAATAATTTTCAAATAAACGAACAATAATTCTTTTTTAATTGGGTATGCAAAATGAGTCGTGTAAATTTTACGCCATGTTTGGCTAACGTGTATAAACAGTTTATAATCAACTTTTTATTCATACATTTCATATGATACGCAATTCTTATAAGAACCATGTTTTTCTTATATTAACAACTACTTAAAAGAATCATTTAACAAAATTGAATAATCATTTTTGTTTTGTACTTTTAATTAAATCTTTTGCATTAAAAAGTGACAATTTCGTCACATTTTATATAAAAAATCACTATCTTTATAAATATAGTATTATATTGAATTACTTGCACACATGTTGACTTCGAGTTCAATATTATACAAAGTTAATGATGGCAGAGCCTCATAATTCGTGAATATTATTGAAATAAAAATGTGAACATGCAACTACATTCAAGTGGACAATAGTATCGAAGAAAAAACTTCAAAGCGAACTAGCAGTTATTGCAAATAAAAAGTACTACTCCTATTTTTTTCGTTCGAAACAATATACGACAAATATGTACATCAAAACATACAATGGAACAAATTTTTTTTTTTCTTTTCATTCAGGAATTGTAATGACTAAACATATCGGACGATGTAAAAGCAAAAAAAAAAATTCTTGGTCGAAAAACAAAATTCAGATGACCTAAACAAAAAAGAATACTATCAAAATGAGAGAAAATTCAAA